TACCAGTCCGATGCTAATTTTGTGTCGGTGAATTAATTTTTTTAAAAAAAGTGCTAGTGAAGAGAAGCTACTAGCCTTGCTGGGGAAGGGCGAGTCGTATAAAACGGCTCTACATGCAAGCCTGAAGCCAGAATCCAGAATCCAGAACCAACATATCACATCCGTATTATGCAAGGACCGATGTAGAAGTCATGAATATTATGGTGAGAACGAAATGTTCCCGGCGAATCATAAATCTAGTGGACCCCACTTCTAGATTAATCTCGGGCTGCTTACGTGGTTCATGTTAAAATGTACTCTTTTGGTCTAATTTTATAATGTCTGTCCAAATGAATACACTGTTTTTGTTACTTTTATATTGTAATGCGCATAAAGGAACAAAATAAAAGAGTGGAAGCTGGCAACATATGATTTGCTTTTGGGTCTTGAGCCTTGATGTGACAGACAACATCAATAGGATTGCTCCTAGAAAATTTAGAAAAGTTACCCATGGGATGCCATGTGTCAAGATGGCTTTACTGGTATGCAAGGTCAGCAACAGCAGCGCATTTTTATTTCACGAAGAGATTAGCCACTTGACCCGTGCAATGTTGTGGTTATTTTTTAAAACAAAATGAGTATACATGCTAAATAAATTGATAATTATTGAAGTTTAGATTCAATTATTTAACTAAATAAATGAATAATCATTTATATAAATATAAAGTATTTTTTGTGTATCGTTTATATAAACAGTTTAGTATAATTTTATAAGATTATTGTAATATTAAATAAATATTTTGATATTTAATTAATGTTTAATTCCACAAGTATTTATTTTTATTATCGTATTATAAAATAAAAAATAATTAAAAATTTTGTTAAATCTAGTAAAATTTATGTTTCAGATTATGAGTTTGATAAATTAAGTTACGATGTCCAAACTGATATAATACATCAAAATCTCGATGTTAAAAAATATAATTTTAAAATTTTATTTGAAGCTAAAATCATGTGTTTTAATAGTTATCTGATTTTCTTTTGGTTTTATCAAATCAATTAAATCACGTAAGGATAACTTCCGAACAAGTTAGTTTTAAACCCGTATTACAAAATGAGCCGAATCGAGAGGTTTTAAAGCTAGCCCACTTTACTAGCTTGTTTTTTTTTTAAGTTTATTTTTAAAAAACTTTTATGGGCCAAGTCCTTTTTCTATTTTTTAATATTAGTTGATTTTGAACTTATATGTTTTGATTTGCATTCCATAAAATTACTGTAATTTCTAACAAATATTTAATTTTTTTATTAATATTTTATTTTACAAATGTTTATTTTTATTATAGTATTATTAAATTAAAAATAACTCTGAAAAAATAAAATTTTTAAATCAAGCAAAATACACGATCTAAAATGTAAATTTAGCATGATTGGGCGCGGAGCATGGATTAACTGTGTTAACATATTGAACTAGGAAGTGGTTCCATGAATTTCAAGATTAATATGACACGTCAACTTTAATAATAATATAAAATAATTTCACGTGTTCTGATTTTTTTATATATATATAGATCATTTTTTATAGAAATATAATTGTGGTTGTTTTTTAAATAGTTTTTCATTTTAAAATACATATTAATGTTATTTTTTATTTTTAAAAAATTATTTTTGATATTAGTATATTAAAATGATTTGAAAAAAAAAACAAAAAATATATTAATTTGAAGTTAATAAAAAAATAATTTTTAAAAAATATTTTTAAAAAATATTTTTAAAATGTAGAGATAACACATGCCTTTAAGCAGTTATGTACAGAGAGTCGTGTCAGCTTGCTACGTTTACTATACCGAGCATATACCAAGCATGTCCTAAAATGTTTACACAGAACCATTATTTTTATGTAGCTATGTACAAGAGAGTCGTGTAAGCTTGCTACGTCTTCCTTTTGTATGGTACTGTATTTTAAAAATAAATTTAAAACAAATTATTTATTTTTCAATATAATGTATGAAAAATAAAATTTTGTTAATAAAAATATATTATTTTAATATATTTTAAAAAACAAGAACAACTTTCTAAAATAATTCTTTAACCAATAACACCTTTGCATTGAATAATATCAATATAAATATATCAAAATAAAAACCCCATTACTTGTATTAGCGTTAAAAACTACGACAACGAGTTGATATTGATATTTATTCTTGGAGCTGTGGTAAAATTTATTTTTTAAATTAGTTTCTTTAATTTTTTAATCTTTCAATATATTAATATTAAAAATATTTTTAAATAAAAAATACTTTTTAAAAAATCACTACTATATTAGTAAGCATCCCTAATTTGACCGACCCCATTAAAAAAGAAAGAAAAAAAGAAAGAAAGACAACCGAGGCCCCAAGGCACCCCTCTTCCTCAACGGGCATGATGACTCCCACCACACGGACAAGACACTACGAGTTGAATAGCAAAATCCCTAGCGCAACTGCGTCCAGGACTAATTAACCACCGTTCCCTTATTCTGTGCATGACAAAGCAGTGCTAAAACATCGAGTAAGACATCAAGCTCGATGAAACGGCATATTATAAAAATAATAACGATTTTTCTAAATTTGCCACGACAACACAAGTGAAGAAAACCTTGAAGTTTAATTCTTTAATTTTTTCGTGGCCATTGATTTAAATAGCAACGAGAATTAATATCCTTTATATTTTCATGTAAATGTCCACACGGCTTACATTGGGTGTATTTTAGACCACCCCCGCATATATATATATATATATATATATATACACACACATACACATGTATATCTATTGAAATGAAAAGCTAGATAAATCAAAATAATACATATATATATTTTTTTTTTTATTTACGTGGGGTGTTCGGACCAGCTTGCCCGCACCACGACTAATCCTCACGGTCCATTGAATACCCTGTAAACCCAGTAAGCATGTAAGATACCACGGAGGTAATAAGCGTGCACGTCAAAACTCGAACCTAGATACAGTGGAAGGAAACAAGCTACTTTCAACCATTAATTTGCAAAAATAATACATAATTTTTTTTTTTTTTTTTTGCCTTGGAGTTGCATGCCTGTCAGCCCCGCGCTGCCTTACCTGCCTGTTGGGTTTGCAGGGTGTTCAGTAGGCCGTGGGGATTAGTCGTGGTGCGCGTAAGCTAGCCTGGACACCCCATGTTAAAATAAATAAATAAATAAATAATAATACATAATTGATATTTGATAACATAGCCCGCCTCCCATTTTATTTTCTACATAATCACTTCAAGAGTACAAATCTTCAAAAAGCAGGTAGAGCCGGCTGGCATCGCTTTTTAACAAGAAGACTAAAATAGTCAAAATATAGGAACCTGTCCATTTTATCTAAGGAATCTACTGAGAATGATTCCCTATAAGGCTAATTAAGGAAAAAAAAAAAAGCCAACGATTCTTCTGGTATTTTTTCTTTGAATTGCACGAGTTGCAAAATTAAATGTGGTAATCTCATGTTAGTCCCCAACCTACTATCCATCTCCCAACTGGTCGACAACCCCCATCCTATGAAAACAATTCAGTCAAGTGCTTTTCTGTCTGAAATCAATGTAAAATCTCGACAGGAAACTTTTTAATTATCTCAACAAGTTATTACAGAAGGTACTTAATTTACATGGCAAACTCTTTAAAATCTTGATACAAGTTTTCGTTTTTTAAGGCATTCAAGACATAATTAAAAAAAAAAAAAACCAAACAAACAAATAAGCTTGGAAGTCTTCGCTGGACACTGATCTAGGTTTACCCAGGTTTAAAAACAAAAATTTAACGGGCACGTCATCAAGCTCAGGTCCCACCATCTGTAAATAAACTAATAAAAGGCCCCACCGAAAACAAATCAAGGACTCCCTCTCCCCTCCTCTCCCTGTCTAGAAACTCTCCACCATTCCCTTCCTCCTCTAGTTCGCACATAGCCTATCTTCACTCTGTACGTCTTCAAGTATCTCTCTCTCTCTACCGTCTCATCTCTTGATACAGATCCATTTTTGTTCTTGCTGAAAATGACGGACACAACAGATGATATAGCAGAGGAAATCTCCTTTCAAGGCTTTGATGATTACTGTAAACTGCTTAAGAATTTATTAAACGATGTGTTGCAGAGAGAAGTTGGTACTGATTTCGTCGAGAAACTTGAACGCAATCGCACTCTCGCTCAGGTCTTCTTCGTTTTCATCTACTTCTCCTTATTTTTATTAGAGAGAAGTTACTGTGATCGATGATCATTACTTTAAACTGGTCTTGATTATTTCTTTTTAGTGTTCATTGGATTTGTTTTTGGTGTGCGGATGTTGTCATCATTGTTTTTGCTAGTTTCGCGTATTGTGTTTTTGCATGGTTTTGTTTTGTTGAGAAGAAAACAGTGGAAGCAAAATTAGTTAGTATTATTATTATTTACTTGTTTGTTTATATTTGTGATTGCTAGCTTTTGGATAAATATTCTTTCGGTGATTACTTATTTTTTCTTACTACGTCTTATGCGTTTTTCTATTTTTTTTTTAATTTTTAATTTTGCATGTTATACTAAGAAGTAATAGCTGTAATCAAAGAAAGAAAAAAAAAAAGCTAAAAAAATCATGTCCTTTTGTTACATATTTGCTAAAGGTAAATTTTATTTTTTTGAATTAGTATTTATTTTATACTGTTTTACTTCGTTTAGCCTCAAAGCTGTTGCAGTCTTGCAGATTGTGATGACAAGAAGAATCAGTGATTTATTTATTATTTTTTACTGGTATATTTTTCCTGCATTTTCATCGATTAATATTCATATATCGGGAGAAAATATTAAGGGAAGTTTTTTTTTTTTTTGGTGTGTGTGTACGCGTGTATAGAGTGCTTGTAATTTGAGATTGGCGGGGATAGAAGACACCGCTGAGTTGCTGGAGAAGCAGCTGGCATCAGAGATATCAAAGATGACTTTAGAGGAAGCATTGACACTTGCTCGTGCTTTCAGCCATTATCTTAATTTGATGGGAATTGCTGAGACCCATCACAGGTACGTATAAGTTTCAGATAACTTTTGAAATTGAGCATGTTGACACTGCATAATGTATTCCTTTCATGCAGGGTACGTAAGACACGGGATTTGGCGCATCTATCAAAATCTTGTGATGTAGTCTTTAATCAGCTGTTGCAGGGTGGAACATCAGCTGACGAACTTTATGACTCTGTTTGCAAGCAGGTTTGTCTGTACTGGTATTTTTCTTTCGAGTTTTCTCTGACAGTTGGGTTGGTCACTGAAACTGACAATCAAGAAAGCAGAAGAAGTTTTCAAATCGCAATTTGTGTTTTTGGAAATTCTTACAAGTTTAGGGGACGCATCAACTGGATCAGCCTATAAAATTTTACCGGCTTCATTCAGCGGAGCCTTTTTTGCATGGTCTATAAGGACTAATAATTACCACCATGATTATGAGTTCTTTTATTTCCCTGAATATCTTAGCTACTAAATGGAACATATCAGTATTATATAATTGCAATTTTTAAATGCGATCCTGTTAAGTAGTTTCTAACAGTTCTTATATCATGTTCTTGTCCAAATCTTGTTCATGCAGGAGGTTGAAATCGTTCTTACTGCACATCCTACTCAAATTAATCGTCGTACCTTGCAATATAAGCACGTTAGAATTGCTGTAAGTTGTTAATGCCTTGGGCACCGATTGTTATGTTATATATGATAATATTAGATATTGCAACAATGTCAAGTGTTAACATTTTGGATGTGAACTTGTTCTATTTGCAGCATCTTTTAGATTACAATGATCGACCTGATCTTACACAGGAAGATAGAGAAATGCTTATCGAAGATCTGGTATGGTGTCAAACCTCAATAAGAGTCACAATCAACATTACAGTTAGAGCATAATGATCCGGTGTAAAATTCTCTCTTTCTTCTTTTTTTTTCCGGTGGTTTATATTATTTTTTCTTTTGTACAGTGTAAAATTATCTCTTCTTTTTTTCTTCGGTGGTTTATATTATTTTTTCTTTTGTAGGTAAGAGAGATTACTTCAATATGGCAGACAGATGAGCTTAGGCGCCACAAACCTACGCCAGCAGATGAAGCCAGGTCTGGTAAGCCAATTTACTTCTAAAATCTGATTAAAATAACTTACCTTTGGTTCTTTGGAAGTTTCTGTTACTTGGTGATGCCTGATGGGATCATATTTTGATAAACTCAGGCTTGCACATTGTGGAGCAGTCTCTATGGAAAGCAGTACCTCATTATTTACGTCGTGTCAGCACTGCGCTGAAGAAGGTTAGCTGTCATATGATAGTGTTTTCTTTCAAATGATTGTGAGAAGTTGGTTGACTTCTTGTTCTTGTATGTGGATTTGATCGCTGCATTTCCTTTCCCCTTAGCATACAGGAAAGCCACTTCCATTAACCTGCACGCCAATAAAATTTGGGTCTTGGATGGGGGGTGATAGAGATGGAAATCCAAATGTAACAGCGAAGGTGAGCCTTTCAAATTCATGATTGGGTTCTCTGGTATTTATCTGGGAAGAACTAATTTAATTGAAGAAAATATTCCCACTCATGGGTTGTGTATGACAGAAGTTGGTCCATTAATTTATCTAACAGGCACGTGTGAAGAATGATCCCTCTAATCATGTTGTAGTATGGTAATGTCATTTTAGGAAATCCATCTGTTTTCCTTGGAACAAAAATGAAAAAGGAAGTTGCTTGCTGCTTCTTTCTAGTTACAATTAAATGTCCTGATGAATGCCCAAGATCCAAGGTTATTATGGAAAAGCTGGCAAGAAATTGAGTGACAATATCATGGCTTTGCTTTAAAACCTATGGCATTTTTGTGCTGTTAAAGTTATCTTGTGTTTATTTTGCATATTATCATTGTCCTTGTTTATTAGCATCTGTGCTTCAGAGTTCCATTCTTGATTTAAACTATCGCATGACATATCCACATATTGAAATGACCCTTGCATCGGCAGACATGCTGTTAAAATTGAAGGGTTGCAATATTTTTCTGTGCTCCAGAAGACTTTCTTGTTGAGATACTTTGTTATTTGTTGCTTGTTGCCAGATTGTGTGTTTGTGTAGTCAATCATTGCATCATTTCATGGGAAAAGCTTAGTAATTGACAAGGACTGATTTTCAATGTGGCTATTAGCACTCTACCAATTCATAGTGGCACTTCACCTTTATAACAGGAGGAAGTGGGGTTCCACACACGCCGGAGTGCTAGTAGAAGAATTCCTTATCTTTTCCTGTTATGCAGTACCGTTTCTACCAGGTATATAAAGTTGTTAACAGATTTTGATTTTATTGTTCCAGGTCACACGAGATGTCTCTCTTTTATCAAGGTGGATGGCTATTGACCTGTACATTAGAGAAGTTGATAGTCTCAGATTTGAACTATCCATGTCTCGCTGCAGTGATAAGTTGTCAAGAGATTTTTGTCGTAAAATAATCAAACACCTATAAAATTATAAAAAATATAAAAATATTATATTATTATTAAATTCATTAATTATATTAAATTTAGTTTAAAATTTTATTATTATTATATATCTTGTTTTGATTATTTTTTCAGTTTTATTTTTTAAAATTTAATTTTAATTTATTTTTTTATTTTTTTAAAATTTAATTTTAAAAAATTACTTCCCAACAATGAGCATAACTATAGTGATATTTATGCTATTTTTTATTTCAATTGCTGAGCACAAGTTTAATAAAGAAAAAATAGAACTGAACGAAAAGCTTTTATATTTAGCATGCATGACAGAAAAAAATCTCTAAAAATCTAGATATTTATTAAGATGAAACCTTATTTATAGAGACAGCACATACCCATTTTACAGTGAACGTCTATGTTCATTATCTATCACATTGAAGATAAACACGGTTAAACCTTATATTTGTAGTGAATATTATTACAACAGTTCTGAATTTTATTTTTATTATTATATTTTAAGTATATTTATATTTTTCTTAATATAATGGGGGGTAACCTCCGCGCAAGGGGATGATTAACTGGTATATGTTAAAACATTCCTTTTGAATAAGGTAAGTATATCTTCGTAGCAAAGAATACCGTCCATGTCACCATGAACCGGATTGAAATTATTGGTATTGGTATTATGTTGCGTATGTGCCTGTAGTTCAAAAAAAATATTTTAAATTAAAATTAATTTAAAAAATATATATTTAACTAGAACTATGGTTAAAATTAAAATTAAACAAAAAATAATTTAATATGTTTAGTTATAAATGATTTTAAAATTAAGATTATAAAATAATTTTAAAAAATATATATTAATATTTATGGTTTTTAATTTAAATATTATAAATTTAACTATTGTTATTAATTATGAAATAAATCATATTTTGTATAAAATATTTTTTTATTATTTCATTAAATTATCTATAATTTCATTACGTATGAAATTTATTCAACAAAAATGATGATTTTCATGATTTTTTAAGTATGTAATAAAATTAAATAAAATATTATCAAAAATAAAATTGAGATTATAGTACTAATAAATTTAATTTACCTTAAATTATTTTAAAAAAATATTATTTAAGTTCAACATAAACACTGCAAATTAAATCAATTCACCACACTAGTTTAAAAAATAAAAAAAAAGCTATTCACATACACAAAATTATAACTCATGAATTAATTTATGCTACTGTTCACTTAAACAATGCTGGGTGAATTATAATAATGTGCAAATGATGATGATTGATAATAAAATACTTCTATTTAAGCTAAGAAAAAAGGAAGCAAACAAGAAATTAGGTGGACTCTTAAATTTTTCTTTTCTCTGGCAAAAATAAATAAAAAACAATAATTTTTTACTTTATAAAATTAGTGATATATTTTTAATTTCCAATGAGACCCACCTTTAAAATCTATGTTTTAAATATTTATTAAATAATTAAAAATTATAATTGAAATACAATATAATTACAACTATAATACCAAATACCTTCTAAGCTTGCTGGCAGTGCGCTGATAAGTTTTTTTTTTTTGGTTTCAGCAATGGGGAGGGATTGCTTTCGTTGGGTGACAATTGATCCCAAGAACAAGATGTAGGTTACTCTACTCTATCTAAACCAATGGTAATATTTTTTTATTTTTTAAAAAACATATTAAAATGGTATTTTTAATTTTTTAAAAATTATCATAGATATCAATTTATTAAAAAAATAAAAAAATAAAAATCATTTAAAAAAAACACGAAACAAGCAAATCTAAATTACAAGGAGGGACCACAGTACAAACATATGCTCCTCCATGCGACACAAATCACGCAACATATGAGCTCGTAATTTAACGATGACCACATAAAGAACTGGGAGTGCAAACTGGAAGCGTTAATAATTTTTTCCATGTAGCAAGGCGGTGCTTTCCGAGTCACGCAAACATCCTAACTTTTTTCGCGATAAGATTCGATTTGATGTTGGGTGGATTGTTCACATATTCTTTTGGAATATACTCTCACTGCATTAATGACGTCACCAAGCACGCATATAAATGACAAACGAGCGTGTAAAAAGTAAAAACAATGCGCACCCATCACCCTTTTTCAAGATAATTATGTTCTGATTTTCTTAGATTCCAAGGAATATAATAGATAATGTCTGTGAAATCATTTCAAGTGATTGGTTATTTCAATGCAAAAAAGAGTTTAAAGAATATAAATCATGGTTAAATAATAAAAATTTAAAATAAAAAATTTATTTTTTTATAATGTTAAGTTTGAATTCTTAATTGTTTATATAATAATTATTAAAATTTTAAATCATTATTAATTTTAAAATTTATAAAATTAAACATCTAAATACTTACATGAATCTAGAAAATAAAAATCCATACCAGTCCGGTGCTAATTTTGTGTCAATGAATTAATTAAAAAAAAAAAAGCTAGCGAAGAGAAGCTACTAGCCTTGCTGGGGAAGGGCTAGTCGTATAAAACGGCTCTACATGCAAGCCTGAAGCCAGAATCCAGAACCAACATATCACATCCGTATTATGCAAGGACCGATGTAGAAGTCATGAATATTATGGTGAGAACGAAATGTTCCCGGCGAATCATTATCTAGTGGTCCCCACTTCTAGATTAATCTCGGACTGCTTACGTGGTTCATGTTAAAATGTACTCTTTTGGTCTAATTTTATAATGTCTGTCCAAATAAATACACTGTTTTTGTTACTTTTATATTGTAATGCGCATAAAGGAACAAAATAAAAGAGTGGAAGCTGGCAACATATGATTTGCTTTTGGGTCTTGAGCCTTGATGTGACGGACAACATCAATAGGATTGCTCCTGGAAAATTTAGAAAGGTTACCCGTGGGATGCCATGTGTCAAGATGGCTTTACTGGTATGCAAGGTCAGCAACAGCAGCGCATTTTTATTTCACGTAGAGATTAGCCACTTAACCCGTGCAATGTTGTGATTATTTTTTAAAACAAAATGAGTATACATGCTAAATAAATTGATAATTATTGAAGTCGAGATTCAATTATTCAAATAAATAAATGAATAATCATTTATATAAATACAAAGTATTTTTTATGTATCATCTATATAAACAGTTTAGTGTCATTTTATAAGATTATTGTAATATTAAATAAATATTTTGATATTTAATCAATATTTATTTTTATTATCATATTATAAAATAAAAAATGATTGATTTTTTTTTTAAATCTAGTAAAATCCATGTTTTAGATTATAAATTTGATGAATTAAATCATGATGTCCAAACTGATATAACATATTAAAGTCTTGATATTAAAAAAATATAATTTTAAAATTTTATTTAAAGCTAAAATCATGTATTTTAATGGTTATCTAATTTTCTTTTGGTTTTATCAGATCAATAGGATAACTCCCGAACAAATTAGTTCTAAGCCCATATTATAAAATGAACCGAATTTAGAGGTTTTAAGGCTGGTTCACTTGACTAACTCTTTTTTTTAAAAAAAGTTTATTTTTTATTTTTTTTTCTAGATCAAGTCCTTTTTCTATTTTTTTAATTTAATTTTTAATATTTAGTTGATTTTAAAATTGTATGTTTTGATTTACATTCAATAAAAATACTGTAATTTCCAACAAATACTTATTTTTTTATTTTACAAGTATTTATTTTATTATAATAATATTAAATTAAAAATATTTTTTAAAAGATAAAATTATTAAATCAAGTGCAGTATATAATCTAAGATGTAACTTTAATAAATTTAACCGGATTAGACACAGAGCATGGATTAACTATATTAACATATTGAACTAAGAAGTAGTTCAATAAATTTCAGGATTAATATGACACGTACACTTTAATAATAATATTAAATGATTTCATGTGTTCTGATTTTTTTTTATATAGGTTATTTTTATAGAAATATAATTGTGGTTATTTTTAAAATAGATTTTTATGTCAAAATACATATTAATATTATTTTTTTATTTTTTAAAAGTTATTTTTTACATTAATATATTAAAATAATATAAAAAAAACTAAAACAAATATTAATTTGAAATCAATAAAAAAAATATTTTTTTTTATTTTTTTTTAGAATGTAGAGATAACACATGCCCTTAAGCAGTTATGTACAGAGTTAGTTTGCTACGTTTACTACACCGAGCATGTCCTAGAATGTTTACAGAGAACTATTATTCTCAAGCAGCTGTGTATAAAGAGTCGTGCAAGCTTGCTACGTCTTCCTCCTGTATGGCACTATATTTTAAAAGTAAATTTAAAACAAATTATTTATTTTTTAATATTTTTATTATTTTAATATAATGTATGAAAATGAAATTTCGATAATAAAAATATATTATTTAAGTCTATTTTAAAAAACAAGAACAACTTTCTAAAATAATTCTTTCACCAATGATACCTTTGCATTGAATGATATCGATATAAATATATCAAAATAAAAATCTTATTAAATCAACCATTTTTAACCATAATATACTTGTATTTGCGTTAATAACTATGGCAACAAGTAGATATTAATATTTATTTTTGGAGTTGCAGTAAAATTTATTTTTTTTAAAATTAATTTCTTTAATTTTTTAATCTTTCAATATACTAATATTAAAAATATTTTTTAAAATATTTTTAAATAAAAAATACTTTTAAAAAAACCACTACTATATTATTAAGCATTCTTAATTTGACCAGCCCCATTAAAAAAAGAAAGAAAGACAACCGAGTCCACGAGGCACCCCTCTTCCTCAACGGGCACAATGATTCCCACCACACAGACAGACACTACGAGGAGA